AACTGTTTCTTTCAAAGCAACTTAAGCTGACCAGTGATCATGGCCAAGTCCACGACGGCACTCTCTGAACGAACTTTCTCTCTTTCCCTTCTCCAAATCTTCCGAAATTCTTCCCCGGCAAGCTTCAAACGCTTTTAATACTTTTCCAAACAATCTCAATTTCACTGTTTAGATCTCAAAAGCATCCCTTTTTTACTGGTATCGCAAGTGAATTTTAGCATAACATCAAGCAAAAATGGCCAACCGTTACGACAGAAACCCTTTTGAGGAGGAAGAAGAAGTGAACCCCTTCGCTGTAAGTTTCATATATATATATATATATATGCTTTCCTATCGATCATTCAGTCTTTTAAGTGCTCAAATTTTCCGTATGCTTTCAATCAATCCAAATAATTTGTGTCCAACAAATTGTTTATTTGAAATTGGGGTTGCTGCTTGATTTTGGTTGACCCTTTTGGCGTACTCAATGTGATTATCTTTCCTAGGACATGAGTAGTTTTCTGCTGCGTTATGCTTGTGATGATCTTCTGCTTGAAAGNGATTTATCATATTTTAAATGTATTGTAAGCCTCTTTATTTTTTGAGCCAGTGATAGAAAGGAATCTAGTTAATTCATGCAAACCATGGCTCGTTCTTTTTGGTACTAGCTTGGACTTTCTGGTCTGGATCTTGGAGCTTCCTTGATTTGGACACATATCTATTGTACAGGGGCGTAGAGACGAAACATGAAAACCACTATCTGAAAATATTTTGTTACCTTTTTTTTGTTTTCAACTCAAGAATTCAAAATTACTCCTCCCCTCTCCCAAGCCACACACTTGCTCTTATAAGTATGAATAGTGAAAGATTCTTGACTTCCATTCCAGGGGTCGGGATGTTATAGGTGCTAGTAAGGTAATTACTAATTTGTTAATTAAAACTGAGGTTTTTCCTTCCGGTTTGGTGAGTATTTCCAGGATGGGTTTGGGTTAGTTGTTTCTTAACCTCCACGCCAGAAATATAAGTTACATTCAACAATTTACTGCCAAACTTAGTAAAATGAGAAGAACTAACGAGTGATTCCCATTAATATAACGATCTGTAAGAAATGATGATACTAGAATCAAGGTTATGCACTGTCATATTTGGTGTGTATGAAGTCTCAAAATATGCAATGAATTTTCATTTTTTACTCTAACTCGGTAAAATTAACTGGCTTTAAATTTTCTGATACATCCATGCATGAAACTTCAATATTTTTCTGAACCCAGGATGGAGGGGGAAGAGGAAAAACAGGCGAGCGGTCGAACTTTAGCGGAGGCTCATTTTTTAATACAGTGAGTTGACTTTGTTTCCCTTCACATGGTCGAAAAAATCATTCACAGTTGACCAGAAGTATCTTTTTGTTTGTACTAGTTCACTTTTATTTCCTACAAATTCAGTGTCCCGTGTTTTCAAATTTTAAACCCAAATAAGTATTAATTGGTTCTTCTCTGAGTCCATATTGCTGCAACACCAAATTATTGATAGGCAAAACATGGGTTTAATTTTTCGTTTATGGCGTGTCAGATTCCTGTCAGACATTAAATGTCTTGGCCTCGGTATAAACTCAGTAGGCCTTGCATGTCATAGAGCTTCAGTTAATACAATTACCATGTGTGATGTCTATATTAATAACTTCCTTCAGCCACTTGTTTACTTGACCAGTGTGGATGATATCCTGTTAGAGTTGAGGCTGATTTCTCTAGAACTCTTTGGAGTTATCTAAAAGAAACGCAATCTATGACTGTTATACACATGCTAGTTTCATTCTACACTTTATTTTAACCTTGCAAGCAATATTGGTTAGCAAAAACTCGTGTCCAACTGTCGAACAGGAGGTATTCAGGTGAAACCCAAACTATTGTTTCAGTTTTTAGTTTGATTTTTTAAAATCTTTTCTTTAAGATATTCTTAGGTTTTTTTTGTTGTTGTGTTAATTTCCTAGTTTCCTAGGTTTACTATTCAGTTTCTCTTTGGTCTTGTAATTATATTAGTTTTTCTTAAATTTTTCTATTTGTATGGTACCTTTTGAATTAAAATTTAGTTTAGGGACGCCTCACAGGTTAAGATATGTTAGACTGTTTTGCTGGAGTGTGGTTTATAATAGTGTCTTTGTGTTCAGAATAATGGGAGTGTTCCTCTTGCTGCAAACTCTCGGCTTGCACCCCTTCCACCAGAGCCTGCTGATTTCTACAATCCCACTGCTCCAGTTGATATCCCTCTTGATAGTACTTCGGTAATTGCAACTTTTTTTTTTTTTCCAACTTTTGTTCTGCAGTTGTATATCTGTTTATTGACAAGGCTTTATCTGGTTTTCTAATCATGCAAAATTTCAAACACGATTTGAAGCAGAAGGAGAGAGAGCTGAGGGCTAAGGAAACTGAATTGAATAGGAGGGAACAGGTATTTGTTTTTAATTTGCTAGATTTTTTTTGGAAATATATTCTTGTTATCTCTTCTTTACGAGCTTGGCCAACAAAGCTTATCATAGAAGGACATATTTTTCTTTTACCAGATCCGATTTTAGAATAAAACCGAAACTTAGAATTTTTGCTTTTCAAAAAAGTTCCCCTGCACTAGTTTGGAGTCATTGACATATAGTGTTGAAATTTGATATATGACTACTGGCGTATATATAGACTTCTGAAAGTAAATTTTATGGCCCGTGGTTTGCGTTCGTTTCTCGTAGAATCAGAGTTTATCTTGACCAGTAAATTTTCAGCTTAATAAATTGACGAATTCCTAATATGTATAAATGATATGCAGGAAGTGAGACGGAAAGAAGAAGCTATTGCTCGAGGTTCTTTGCCTATTGAATCAAGACCATTACTATTATCATTATTTGATGCTATTTATTGAGAAAAATATAATCATAATCTCCTTGTGTACCTTCTATTGGAATTTTGCGGAATTTAAAATCAGGACTAATCGCAATTTATTGCTCGACTCTTTGCAGCTGGTATTGTTCTTGAGGAGAAAAATTGGCCTCCATTTTTCCCTATTATCCATCATGATATTGCAAATGAAATACCAATTCATCTTCAGAAGCTGCAATATGTTGCATTTTCAACATTTTTGGGTATGTTAACTGTTGAAGTTCTTTGGTTTTCAGCACAGTAATGAGTATCTGGTAGTCTAGTCCTGCAATTGACCACTCATTATAATAATTGTTCTCTGTTCCATGAAGATAGGCTTACGACTATTTAACACAGTTTAAGAAAATTTTGTTAAACCTCTACTTTTGCTAGAGTTGTCCGATCAATTTTATATATGTAATTATAAATTCAAATAAATTGATAAAGTGAACGTGAAGCTTGCTTTAATTATATTGCTTATTATTCTTTTATAGTATATATTAATTATTAATAATCAGAAATAGAGTTAAAATCAAAGTTTAGGACTCATACTTCATCACATTTCACATATTAGTAAATCCGTTACATATGAGTAAAACTCCCACTGATGATTATTGGTGATGTTCAGGGCTTACCTTTACACTTCTATGGAACATCATAGCTGTCAGCTCTGCATGGATTAGACGAGGAGGTTAGTATTTATTCTTCAATATAATCACCAGCTTCTCTTTTGAGTTTTCAATAATCCTCACTTTTGATTCACAAGATTCGAGAAGCTGGTTTCTTGCTATTATCTACTTCATATCTGGAGTTCCTGGAGCCTATGTGTTATGGTATCGGCCACTCTACCGAGCTTTAAGGTTCGTGCTTAATATCCATGAATTGATGGAATAATTACGAAATTACCCCTCTCATTTAGTCTGCTAACTGCCAAAGAAAAAAGAAAAAACAATGTTTCCTGAGATTTTGAATATCCATTGAGGCTTATATAATTTACCCACCTAACCGTATGTGGAATAATTTATGCTTGAATAATGACGAAATTACCCCTCTCAATAGAATACCCATGAATTGATGGAATAATTTGCTTGAAAGGCTAATGAAAATGGATAGACTATTTTATTTCCCATCTTCATATAGTTAGATCTAACATCCATGTCTATATAATGCAGGAAGGGAAGTGCTTTGAGTTTTGGGTCATTCTTCATATTTTACCTGGTAAGTTTATATACCTTTCAACGAAATTTACTTGGTATGTTTATATATTCTTCACCGGAAATATGACTCACTTGTTTGTCAACTACCACCTCACAGCTTCACATTGGGTTCTGCATCTTTGCTGCTGTTGCGCCTCCTATCGTTTTCAGAGGAAGATCTTTGGCGTAAGTTTGCCTTCTAATTTATCTTTCCATCTATGTATTATTTTCTAGTGAATTCTTGTGTTCGTTTTTTTTTTTTTGCGAAACATCGTGCAATGTTATATTTCGTATTAATCATGTTGATCTTTTATTTTTGTACAGAGGTATCCTGCCAGCTATTGATCTCATAGGCGATCATGTTTTGGTTGGGGTAAGTTTTAAAACTCTGCCCAGCCATCATTCTAATATGATTTAGGGATAATTACAAAAGTCACCCTTCAAAGTTTAGGCTTATTGCAAAACTCAACTACTTCTCAGAATATTAAAAATAACTGCCCAGCCCCTAAACTGTTATACACCCTTGGAAATTCTCAAGCCAAATAGTTTCACAACTCTTAAGAAATATGGTCTTATTAATCCGCAAAGTGCAATAACATTTATGTTCTGTTTTGCAGATATTTTACTTCATTGGGTTCGGACTTTTCTGCCTTGAGTCGCTTCTTAGCATTTATGTTATACAGGTCCAATTATCTTTTTCCCCTATACCTATTTTTNNNCAATAATAATCTAGAGCTTGAAATAGTATGCCTGAAAAATGTTGGTGCTTGTCTTTCAGCAAGTCTACATGTACTTCAGAGGCAGCGGGAGAGCTGCAGAAGCTGCTAGGGGCCGAGCTGCAACTTAATACGGGAATTAAGTATTCAAAATATAATGTAATTATAATTGCACTTAAGTTTTATTATTGAGTGTTCATATTTTGTAATATAATTAGTATAAGCTTACAGTTTGTTTTTGAGAGACGAGACTTTGCGCCTGCTCCGCTGGATTCTTTGTACTACTTATATCTTTCTAGTTGTATGTAAATCATTTCTTTTGCATCATCGACAATGTTCCTTTTTTTTTTCTTTTATTTTATTTATTCGGGTAAGATTTTCAAATATGGAATTAGGCGTGTTTTGAGTTAACATATTTATGTTTATATATAGGGTTTAAACGAGTCCATTCATGAGACTTAATTTTAACCATTGATTTTGTGTAGATCAATGACACATATTAATCATATGGAATATACATTAATTAAATAATAAAAAATATTATTATTATATTTAAATTAACTATACATTAAATAAATTAGTAAAATAAATTTGACTGGCGGCTAGCCGCGTCGACAGCTGTTGACCCTCTTGGACCCGTCCGTCGTGAAGCAGCCAGTTTGCCACCTCTCTCCGGCACAGTCTCAGAGGGTGTCAGAAGTCATATCTGGGTGTGGGTCGATTTTTTAGAATTAGACAAATTAGGAGGTTTATTTGCAATTTCAAAAATTTGTTAGTTATTGCAATTTGATCCTTGTGAGTCAATTTGTAATTTATTTAAAGCTCGAATAACTACAATGTGATCTTTGAATTTTTATATGATATAGTTAATGCACATTTAGTTGGGTCGAAAATGTGTATTAGCCTATATTTTTTTTTTTCAATGTTGGGCCTCCGGCCTTCTATTAAAATGTTATTCCAATAGAAAGTTACTTTGGGCCGTTGAGCTTGGGCTTTTCGGGTCGGTTAGAATGAGTGTTAAAAACTTAAAATACGCAATTTGTTATTTTGTGGGACACTCTGTAGGGGAATTTGTTCTTCTCCCGCGTACAGAACCATGGGAATCCTCTCAATCTCCACCATTCTACTCGCTAACGCCAAATCCAAATTGAAATTTCTCCTCGAAAATTTCAGATCCACTATTTCCCATCGGTTTTCCGCCTTCGGTGGCAGTACTGCGACGCCGGCGCCGCCGCCGGCGCTTTCCCCCAATTTGAAGCATTACAACCACGAAAATCTCATGCTTATTGTGCGATGTGCACTCAACGGAACCTGTGACCACAGCGTAATCTCGACGGACAACTCCTCGTTCCGAGTGGTAACAGATAGTCTTCCCAACGTGTCTCTACTTAGAGCTGAAAATTACCATCCACTGTATCAGAACGCCGATTATATCGTTCGAGCGTGTTCCAACAGCAAATGGATGTTGTTGACATGTCAAAACTTGCCCGGACCTCCGTACGAGCTTCTTTGGGACCCGAAATCCGACGAGATTAAACGCCTTCCTCCACCTGCAGTTTGGCCTCCTCCATCTTTACCAAATTCTCTTTCTGTTGGGGTTTGGGCGTAGGGTTCGATCCTCGTGCATCTTGGAACTGTAAAGTGGTGAGATCTTACTTATTCAGGTATGAAGATTTCTATGAAATCCGCTCCGAGGTGTGGTCCCTCAGAACCGGATTGTGGAAGGAGATTCCATATCCTCCTAGTGTTCTGTTCAACCCCTATGAAAACTCTGCTCTTTACATAAATGGCTTTTATTGCGGCTATGTTATCATAGACCCACCAGAAGTTATTATATTATTCAGTTTGACTTTGCTAATGAGAAGTTTCTACCTGATCTTATCCCTGTCCCCCACAGCCAAAATCTCGGGAAAATGTTAAAGTTGTTCCTGTAACATTTCACGGCTCACTTGCGGCTGTTGTTTACGATTTTGATCGGGGTGTTTCGGCTTATGAGAAGAAGAAGAAGTTGCCTTGTTTTGAGATTTGGGTATGGAATGAGAAGTGGTCTCTTGTGGATAATTTTGAGGTTAATGCTTCTGCTGGTGCTCTTGTTACAGTATTGGGTCTTTACAAAGATGATAAAGTGCTCATTCAGGCTTACAAGGGTGACTTGCTGCTTTATAATTGTAAGACCCGCGAGTTGGAGAATCTCGGCATTCACGATCAAGCACGTAACATGCGGGTTTTCCCCTATGGTGAAAAGATAAACCAGAACTCGTCGATCTTATGGTTTGGTGGCATCTTTCTTTGTTCTGAGTGTCGTGTTCTATGTCATTTCTGACCATCTTATTAGCCATGCGTAATGTGGTCCTTTAGCCTAATGTTTTTTCGACATTCACTGACTGCCCTTGTATTTATTGCGGTTTCTTTTAGTGCAATGATGTTACTTTCTTTACATACTGCTTTTGCAGTTTTATGATCTCAAGTTAGAAAAATAATCTACTTCATGAAATGAAAATCAAGCAGTTGCAAGACCTCTTATTGCTAGGTTGGGTTGGATTGCTCTCTTCTATTCAATCTTATATCAAATATCGTGGGTGTGGCTATCTTCACATTTATCCGGTCGTTTGTCTTCATCTTTGCTCCATCCTGCATCACACTAGGAAAGCGCCACATCTTATTTATCAACTAATTGATGCCTTGTCTTATGAATTGTGTTGCCCAGGCTAGGGATGGAAAGTGTTTTTTTTTTTTGTGTGTGTTTTCTTTTTAAACGTCAAATGATATAAAACGAAATTCTAGTGCATACAAAGTTCGACCACAATGGGTACTAATCCCTTGTTTACAAGCAAAGTACAAACAAGTAATAGAAGGGAAACAAACCCCAACAAACTAAGAAAACAAAAACTACAAGAACCAATGGTACACAAGACCACCTACCTTACAACCAAAACAACCAGAAACAGAACTACACCGAATTTGAACAGCAAAAACACTAGGGCTGGTATTTGTTTACCAAAAACTGAACGGACGAGAAAATATATTGAATCGTAACGACTTGCTTGTAACGGTAAACGATTATCAGTTGCCGAAGTGCTGTCGGTTCGGTATCAATACCGCATCATAAGGGTTCGGTTTTACCGAACTGAAATGATAAGCTTAGAAAAATGTATTAATTAAAAGTTATAACAAGGGCTCTGTTGTCATTTTGCATGTAGTTGGTTGGGTTGAGGCGTTTAAGGGTCTGATTGGAAATTAATTATTTTGGATTTGATTGGATTTATTAGATCAAATTTAAAAAAAGTTTGAGTTTGGTTTGAATGAGATTTTTAGTTTGTATTTAAAATATAACATTAAAAATATAAAAGTAGGAGAGAAATTAATAGATGTGATGATAAGTTAAAATTATGTGACATATGAATAGCAAAAAAAAAATTAATGCTGAGTGTGATTGATTGGAACTATTTAATTATATTAATATATATATATATATATATATATAAAGATTTGATTTTTTTTTAAATAGTAACTATTTCCCTCCAAAAAAAATGTATTTACTATTTTGAGAAATTAATTTAGTAATTTATGGTATATTTTTAATAATCAGTTATGAAAATTGCAGCTCATTATTTAAGGAAATGATTAAATCATATAAAAATACATTTTTAAAATACCTGAATACTCAAATTAATTTAACAATTTATGGTATATTTCAAATAATCACTTATGGTAAATTCATTCTTAAGATACCTTAATTACTCAAATCATGTGAATTGGCTGATTTACCCAAATATGAGAATTTTGGTTGCAATATCAATTATGTGATTTGGTCAAAAAATTTCAACTAAATTGTATAATTTATTATTTGATAAGTGTTTTATATTTTTCGTGTAATTATTTTATAAAATACATTTTAATATACCTTAATCCGACTGATTTATTCAATCTGTAAATAAATACTACAATTATAGAAATATCGACAACAGTAACTAATTCTGCAGTTTGCAAAAAACTGTTCTAAAAAAATTGTGTTAATGAAATTTTTTATTTAAATATTATTTAATAAATGTTATTCATATTTTGTGTATTTAATTGCTCAAATCGTGGATAATTAAAGAAATAATTTGACCGTAAAAATTTACATTTTTAAGATACCCTGAATATGCAGATCGTGTAGATTCGGTTGATTTATTTAATTATAATTTCTTATAAAACTATTCTAAAATAATTGTGTTATTGGTAGTTTCTATTTAATTATTTCTTAATAACTATTTTTTGGTATTTTTTTATTTTTATCTATAATAATGTGTTGTATGTTGTGCAATTAATTTCGTGGTTAAACCAAATATCATTTTTTATATTTTATCAATAAAGTATGAAATTTAATTATTTGGTATATTATATATTGATCCAATATATCCGCTTATGGTAATAAATAGTGTTGATATCCGACTTGATTACAAAATTAAAGACGGAGACTAATCACTTTATTGAAGAAATAATCTTTCAGAAGAAGATGGACTTAAGACAATTCGGTATCTATTAGAATTAATTACCGACTTCCGAAGATTATCGAAGGAACTGACTATTGAAACAGATGTGAGTAAACCTACTTCAGTTCAATCCGACTTCAGTTCAACAAATATTATGACAAGATAAGTCAAAATTCTTCTATTCAAACCGACTACAACAAAGTCCAAATATCCAAGCAGAAAACAAAGTTGGAAGCTTCTGATTGGACCAGCAAAACGAAAAAATAATCATTGATGTTTCCCACCGCTTAAAGTAAAGCAGCTCAACATTAAATGCGTCTTTATCCATTTTGAGCAAGAAGACAAAAATTACCGTACTACAAATAGTAGAATTTATGATAGTACGAGGATCTTCTTTTTCCTACACATTGTACATGGACTGAAGATGATCTCGGTTAACAATAAAAAACCGACTCCTGTACTCTTGTGATAATATCAAATAAAATCAAATTTTACTTCAATCTTTGTTTTTACACACTCAGCTGTATATAATTTTAAGTTGTTAAATCTAGACAACAACAAATAGTATCTCAATATTTTTTTTTCATATTGCTAAGCATTTTACTCGATATTAATGAAAGAAAAATCTGGATACTATGATCGATTCTTCTTTGTAAATGTGCGTGGAACATATCAAATTATTTGGTGTGTGTGTGTGTGTGTGTTTGTGTGTGTGTATATATATATATATATTTTACTTAAGTCACATTGTAGTCAAATTGAAATTTTGAATAAAAATTTTAAATGAAACCTATTTTGAAGTGAGTATAATGTAACTTATTATAAGTTATTTGCACCATACGGGTCGTGTACTAATTTTAAATAGACATGTTTTTTATAATTTCGCACAATTTGAATTTCATATAACATTTTCAAC